CCACCACCCTCCCCGCGCCCCCTCCCGCTCCGGCTCGTCAGCCGTGGCTGCACAGCGTGTCAGTAGAGTCTTGACAGCAGCGCAGGGGCGGTCACTTTCAAGCTCTTGTGTGCTTGTTGTGACAACTTACATATCCTGCAACCATTTCACATATCCTGCTATGGCCCCCGCATCCGATACAATTAGCATTATTTGCCACCCACCGTCACCCACCGTCACCGGCCGTCACCCGTCACCCCGCAGGGTGGTGTACCGCCTGCTGCTGACCTACAAGTTCACGGCCACCGAGGCTGGGAAGTACCGCCCCACGGTGCCCCTCTTGAACGAGTGAGTCACCCCCTGAACGAGTGAGGTGTCTTGGCGACGCCTGCCGCCGCGGGGTCTTCTTTTGCCGCCCACCACCATTCGGGAGTCCAGAATGCTTGGTTTTGAGGGTGCTGCAAACACAGCAAGACCACGGTGCCCTCTGCACCGGCAGCTTCCTATCGCTCTCCTATTGCCCCATGCATCACCCCGTGCCCTCCATCCCGTACCCCTCACCCCCACTCCACCACGCCCCATCCCTGCCCCCACCCCCTCCCTCCAAGCACCCTTTACGAGTCCCCCCTTGAGAGCCAGATGATCATGCTGTTCGACGCAAACAAGCGCCTGCTGCACACTGGTGGGGATGGGTGTCGTTTTTCTATGTTCCGTCAGCTCCACATCACAGGGGGGCCGTTGAAAAAAACCTCCGGGCAGGTCATCCAGGGTTGCTGTCAGGCATCCCGTCACAGAGTGGTTGATACGAGCTGCTGCTTCATGGGTCCGGCTCCATCAAGGGGGAGTGATGTTTTTGGTGGATAAGGGGGGGCTCCTGACGGCTGCACTTTGTCGGTTGGAGTGTGGAACCCATTTCATCTGACGGCGGAGGAGGCTGCTTGTTCAACCTTGACGACAGGGAAGAGGGGGGGGGGGTGAGGCGTGCGACCGACCGTCCCGCAAGTTGGGTCGTGCCCGCACAAAGAATTCTGGACACACTTTTTTCAGGATCCCCCGCCAACCGCCGCCAACCGCCGCCAGGTGACGCGTACCCTGACACCGTGCAGCTGCCCAAGGGCGACTTCACGCTGCGGCTGGCGCTGCGCCACGAGAGCATGGAGCTGCTGGAGAAGCTGCGGGGAACCTGCGTAGTCATGGTGGGCGGCGCGGGCGCGGCGTCGTGGCCGGCAAGCCAGTGGATGGCAACGAAATTTGTTGTCGGCACGGGAGCTCCCAACCACAAAGCTTTTGAGGCCGAGAACGTGATGGGCGCGGCAGCCCCGCATCCGGCGCGCCGCCATTCTTGGCACGACCACCTGCAGTTGACATTTTATACAGTCCTGTGGAGTCATCCGGACCGCACGTTTCCCCCCAGCCTCCGTCCCCCGGGGCCGCCTGGCTCTACCCGCATCCCCCCAAAATCAAAAAGTCGCGCCCCGACACAATTCGGGCCCATGCCACCATCAACCACCAACAGGAGCGGTCCCTGGACTCAGCCGTGACTGTCCCTGTGTACGGCTCGCACGCCTCCGCCTCCTCCGCGGGCGCGTCGGCGGGGGAGATGTTCCTGGGGGCGGGGGAGCGCGTGGCGCTGTGGCTGGGAGCGCCGGCGGACGACAAGCTGCCAAAGGACGCGAAAGAGGGTGGGGCGGTGATGGAGAGATCATGAGATCTGCGCCTCCAAAAAATTGGATCGAATGAGGGGATCGTGAATGTTGCGTGAGCAATGGCCCAAGGGGCCCCTGGGAGCTGGCGGCAGCATCAGGTTGACTGCGGCCTTCTCATATGAGGGATCAGGGTTGCACCCTGATTGCTGGTTATTAGGATTCCCCGGGTCTGGCAACCTGCTTCAGGGTTTGCAAGCGCGACCCATTACCCAAGCAAATTTCGGAGAGTTGCCGGGACTGCCGTACGGTCGAGTGCCTTGGCCCCCCCTCCCCCCTTCCCTACTGCTCCCTTTTTACACGGCCGCTCTTGCTCACCCCTCGATACCCTGCACACACGTGTCACGCACGTGCGCACCAGGCCGCGTCCTGTCGGGGAAGCTGACGCTGGGGCAGCTGCGGCGCGGCAGCGGCGCCGCGCCTGCAGAGCACGCCCTCAGGTGGGGCGCCGGGCGTTGCCTAAATTACAGTCAGCTGCTCGTGTTGACTACCCGGAATAGCCCCCCTCGAGCACAATGCGTGCTGCCCCCAATATCCCCGTCCTCGTCCCATTACAAAACAATTCCCTGCCTGTCACCCTATAAACATGACATGTCATTCCCAACAGCCTTCAAGCTCTCACAACAGCACACACACACACACACACACACACACACACACACACACACACACACACACATATACGGTACACAAAACACTCGCGCACACACCCACAAATGCGCATCAAACTCAAACACGACTACACTCCAGCCACACGCCACAAAACCCACCCGCACCCGACCAGGTACGTCGTCCCCCCCGCGGTCAACAAGGACGCGCAGTCAAACGGCGGCGCCGCCAAGAAGAAGGACGAGCCAGAGGAGGAAAAGGACGCCGCCACGAAGGCGCGCCCTGTTCCCTGTCCCTTTCTATGCCACAATCCCTGCGATTGTCTCGACATTTGAGGCTGGGTTTCCCCCAGAGGATCTTGCTGAAATGTGGCTGCGCGCCGCACAACAGGATCCGGCCGGCGGCGCGCCGCGGGGGGTTGGCGGCCTGCCTCGGGCTCGCCGTCTGCGCCTGCAATCACCAGTGGCGTCGGCGTGATGAATGGAGGCTCGAGGTCATGCGATGCCCTGATCAATCACCCTCCCCACATCTGGTTGTCATAAAGCGCACACACACGCACACGTGCACGCGTGCGTGTGCGCGCGCGTGCACACACACACACACACACACACACACACACACACACACACACACACACACACACACACACACACACACACATCCTCCCCCCACAGGTGTCTGAAGCTCTGCGTGACGCCAAGCTGGCGCTGATGAAGGACCTCCGCGCTGACAAGGACGCAGCCACATACGACGCCCTCGCAGCGGTGAGTGGGCAGCCGCGCCGCCGGCGCTGCCTCGCCGCCGGCACCACCTGGGCAGTCAAGAAAGAGCGGTTGCTGCTCCCCAAGGCTGGGTTGTGGCGCTGCCCGTCGGCGTCGCAGTTTTCCTGCAGCTTTGCTGCGCCAAGCCTCGACCTCTGAGAACGATAGTTTTCCCCGCGCAAAAGAACCCACTCACGCGGGGTTGCACCACACTTTGCCCCCCCATGTCTACAAAACACATGGAAATGTGACATCCAGCAATGTTGCGTTCAAGTGAAGCCCACCTTGCCTCCTCGCGTGCCCACCCACACTGCCCCGGCGCCGGCCTGGCTCCGACCGCCGTAGGAGCTGCGTGCGGCCCACCCTGGCCACCTTCCTCTGCTGCTGGAGCTGCTCAGGAGGTGAGCCGGGCGACCCGCGCTCCCGCACGCACATTTGACCACCCCAGTGTAGCCGCCTGACCCCATCTGGGGCCCACGTGGCGCCCCGCCACCCAGCGACCCCCCCCCCCCACCTTCCTTACTTGGCCTGCACCGTCTGTAGCCGCTCTCACACACCACACAAGATCCTGCCCCGGCTGCCCTCATCAACCTCGGAGCCTCAAGCCCTTCAAACCTCGGAATGCTGCTATCATTCCCCAACACGCAGGGGCGATGCGCTGTCCAAGGACAAGGGGGCGGAGCGCCTCTCCCAGATCATCGCCGCAGCGGACGAGGTTGTCGCGGCCATCGACGCCACCTCGCTCGCCGCCTTCCTCGCGCTCAGGTGCGGCCGCTCGCTGACAGTCCGAGGTCACAGTGATGTGAGGCTTACACGTTATGTTGTATACTGCAGCACACTATTTGTGTCAACCCTGGCTGTGGCCAGCACCACTGTTACGCCGGCATGCTGGCATCGCAAGCCTGGGAGGATGCACACCCCGCACAGGGACCCGCAGCGAGCCAACCGTGCCAGCGCCAGTCGCCCTGTCTCCTGCCAGGCAGTCGGAAGCTGTCGCTTGTTGCTGCACCTGTTATTGTCGACTGCCGCACGCCTGCTGACCCGGACGGGCGGCCCGCGCGGCACGCCGCTTTGTGACGCGGTGCACCTCACCACCTCCCATTGGAACACCGCAGGGCCCCCGACGAGGCGACGCAGGACGCCGCAGGCGAGGGCGGCGGTGAGCCGCGGCCCCTCGCCCCCGCGTCATCTGGCTCGCGCGCGCCGCTCCATTCTGCGGCCCACCTCCGTATTCGCGTATTCGACCCCGTCAACACGCAACCCAGCACGTCCCCCCCTCCCCCCCAAACTACATCCTGCCCTGTTAAAATTTTATCTCGTCCGCCTATCTGGCCCCGGTCTCACATCCTCCACCACCCCTCATCCGAAACCCGGTTTTCAACCCCACTTTTGAACCCCCTCAATTAAACACCACCCGGCAACCCCCGACCCCCGTCGCCAGGCCCCTCCTACAAGGCCCAGAAGAAGAGGTGGGACGAGGCCAAGGCCGCGCTGCTGGAGGCCCTCAGCAAGAAGCTGGAGGCGCAGCTGGACCAGGCAGACCTGCAGGAAAAGGAGGTTTGACCGGGGGTTGACCAGGGGTTGACCGGAGTTTGACCTGGGGTTTGGCCGGGACATGAACGTGGGGTTGACGGAGTTTTGTCAATGGTGTGGAGGCTGGAATTCGAGCATGCCGTTGGGCGGGAATTCGGACAGTAGAGAGTGACGATTTGCTGCGTAGGTGGATGCTATAATGAAGCAGCATATTCCTTCTGGCCCGTCACAACACTCTTTCCGGCATCAGATCACATTACACCCGACAAACGCCCCGCACGACCGTTTCGCCCTCCCTCACCAGGCGCCCGGCACGGAGGCGGCGCCTGCGGCGGCCGCAGCGGCCACGTCGGCGCGCCTGCGCCAGTGGGTCGACACCGCGTCAGACGCGGCGTACGTCCTGCTGCACTCGCGTGTCGAGGCGCGGGCTGGCAGGTGCGGGCCCCGCGCTCTCACCCAATCGCGTTGCGAGCCGCAGCGTGGGGGTGTTTTCTGGGGCGCCGCAGCATAACGGTTGTGTCGACTTCGGGACGTGCGCGCACTCGGCAGTCTGAGCAGCGCAGGCGAACCCGAGGCTCCTGGGTGCGCACGGGCGGAGGCCGCTCTGCCGATCGATGCACGATTTGCCCTGCGCGCCAAGTGGTTGTGATCCAGCGCTGGAATAGCGCCTGTAGGGCACCTCCAACGGCCCCTCCCTCACGTCCACGGCCCTCGCTCCACAGGCCCACAAACCCCCCGCCGCTGACTGGCCCCCCGCTCGCGGTGCACGCGCACGACACCTCCGCACCTGTCACGCTCCCACCCCCGCGTCTCTGGCACACACACATACACACACACACACACACACACACACACACACACACACGCACGCACGCACGCACGCACACGCCCCGCCTAAATCCTGAGACTCCAAACGCAGTGGCGATGGGTTTGCTACATATACACCCTGAATTTGAAAAAACTCTATCCGAAACCCTACAACCCTGAACTCTAAAACCAACCACCCCCCAGGCTGGCCGGCGCCCTGAAAGCCCTGGACAAGGCGGAGAAGGCGGCGGAGGACGACGGCAAGCCCCCCAAGAAGGAGCTGGCGGAGCAGCGCGCCGCGCTGTTGGGGCGCCTGGGGTGGGGCCACTGGGCGCGCTACGAGGCGGCGAGGACGCGCGCGAGGTTCCCGGGCGCGTTCCCGCCCATCTGATCTGGTCTGACCCGACGCGGCCCAGGCGGCGCCCGGGAGGCGGCGCTGGAAGGCTGCCCGCGGCCGGGGCGGGGCTTCCTTCGTTCCAACCGCGTCGCGTCGCTCGCTCGGCTGGCTGCAGTGAACCCCCCCTTTTTGTGTGCCCCGCGATTCATCCGTCTGGTGAAGGGCTTTTTCTGGTGAAGGGGCCTGCTCCCAAGGACGGCTTTGACACTCTGAAAGGCAGAGGCGGCAGCTGGGAGCATGCCTTGTAACCCCCCGACCCCTCCACATGCGTTTTGGGCTGGTGGGGTGCAGGGGCTGATCCTGGCGCAGGAACTTGCTTGATGTTCGTTGTCCAAAGCCTGCCTGTGCAGAAGCTCCTCGACAGCCGTCTCAAAGGAAGCCAGGAGCCTTGCATGGCGGCCCCAGTGCGGGGCGCAGCAGAACAGAGCGGTTGCATGCATGTTCTCAGGTCTCACGCGGCCTGGCGGCCAGCTCTGGGAAATTGCAGTGTCAGCAGGCAGCATGCAGGCAGGTTTTGATCAAGATTTGGTTATTGAGAACGGCGGTCTCGGCCGCTAAACTGACAACCAGCACGCGCGAGAAAGATCAGCCGTGGCGGCGCCGCTTGCCGCGCATCCCAACCGCCGCGCAGCGAAGGGCCCTCATCGCGCGCCGCCAGCTGCCGCGCTGGCGCCCGCGCCGCCGCCGCACGCAAGCGCCCACAGCCGCCGCACGAGCGGCTCCGCCGCCCGGCCCTGCAGGTACTCAGGCCGGGGGCGCCCTGGGCTAGCCGGGCCCCTGCTCAGGACGGGCGCCCTCAGGCGCTCTGGTATGCCCTGAAAGCCGTGCAGCGCCCCGAGGGCGGCGCCCACGATCGCGGCGTTGGTGTCCACATCGCCGCCCAGCCTGCAGGGATGGACGAATATGCGACAAGATTGAAAGCTATTCCCCGTGGTGGGGGCGGGTGGCGACGGCGGCGGCAAACGCAGGCTCAGCATGGGTGGAGGCTTGCTTTTGGAAGAGGTGCTTAGGGTGCGGATGCCGGTTGCGGCTCGGCAGCAGATGGGATGGGGCTGCGCAGCGCCGGCAATGGGGTCCGGGCCGCCCGGAGCCCCGTGGTGTGGGCTGCAGGCGGGCGGGGCAATGCCCCTTGCGCGATCCGGCGCGCGGCCAGTACGAAGCAAGGGGCCCTGTCGGAAGCGTGGCTTTGGACCACAGATGACACTGCGCATATTGGTGATGTCATTAACATGTGGGATGACATAACAGGGGGGGTACTCGCCTGAGGACGTGCCGGATGCCGTCTTCGTAGCTGGTGCCCTGGTGCAGCGCCCTGAGTGTTGGGCAAGGGCGGGGTGGGCGCGGTGACAGCGGACGGCAATGCGCGGGGGCGGGGTTCAAGGGTTTTGGCTACGGCAGCATCGCGTGCCGCAGCGCACCATGAAACCGCTGAGCGCACGAGGAGGCGACGTTGCGCGTTGGTAGAGGGCCCTCTGTTCACACAGACAGTAAGAGATGCATTCTGCACCGCTTCGCGCGCGCACACGCACGCCCCCACGCACACAACATACACACGGCACGTGCGGGCAGCGGCTGGGTTGAGCCCTGCAACGCAGTCGATCAGCAGCGTCCCACCGCCGATCTCTTGGTGCAGGCCGCTCGCCTGAACGCGTGGACAAAGCCCCACTTGAGGAATCCCTCCTGGGCTTCCACCGCCGGCCCCGGCCCCGGCGCCGCCGCCTCCGCCAGCCAAGCCACCACCTCCGGCGCGGCCCCGCCGCCGCGGCCGCCGCCTCCGTCGCCGCCGCCGCCGCGCGCCCAACTGCTTGCTGCGAAAACAGCGCCGGCCGCGTCCCCCGGGTGCTCTATCAGGTGGCAGAGCGCCAGCACGTATGCCGCGCTGGCATCCTGGAACGCGGCGCGGCGGTGCATGCGGGGCGAGAGCGGGGGCGTGGGCGGCGTCGGCTGATATTGGCCTGCGGTTGGGGCGTGCTTATCATGGGCGCGTTGCTCTTCAGATCAACGGACTCGCTATACAGTATATGAAACAAAGATTGGACAGGCCGAGCCCTGTCATCAGATTGTAAGGCTACAGCGGGCAATCCTTGCCCCACGCCCCAACCAAATCCACCCGCCGCCCTTGCAACACAACGGCCCACGGCCAGAGTAGTATGTCAACCGCCCGCCCCTGTGAAACCTGCCACCGCCCATGCACAGCGGCACCTGCGCGATCGGGTTGGGGTGCGTGAGGGCCGCCTCCTGGCGCGCCGCCGCCGCGACCGCGGCGGCGGGCAGGCGGTGCGCCCACACCGCCAGCGGGCTGGCGCGCATGAGCGCCCCGTTGCTCAGCGATGACCCGTTGTGCTGGGGAGCGAGGGCGAGGGGGGCGGACGAGGGTTTGACTGTGGGTAGCCGGGTAGCGCTGGGAATGATGCAAAATATTTGCATCTCGATAATGATATCATGAGCTCAGGGTGCACACAGAGAGGCAGCCGGTCAAGAAGCCTCGAGTGCATTCATGCGGGATGTGCAACAAAGCAGACAGGGTGCGGGGACGGAGGCGGGCGGGCATGTGCGAGTCGTTTGAGGCTGCGCGTCTGCCGGACCCCCCACGCGTGCGCACCCGCTGGGCCTGCAGCACCATCTTCTGCCCCATCCCTGGGCCTGGGCTGTCCCCAAAACCGCTCGACGCGCTGAGGGCGTTGCGGGTGGTTATGCCTGTAGGGGTGGGGCGTACAGGCAACACAGAGGGGTGGGCGGGTGAGTTTATGGCATCACGTACACCGATGTTCCAGGGGGCATGCTGAGATGGGGGGCTGCGCAGCAGCCCGCCACTCCCTGCATTGCGTTTACACGTTACAAACAAACGTTCCAAATCTTGCTGGGGGCGCATGCATCTGACAAGCTGAAGCAGGGGATGACTCTGATCCGCCCATCAAAAACCGAACGAGGGCGGTTACAGGCGCCGCCGCTCGCCTATGTCAAAGGGCGGGCTCTTGTACCACCGGCCGTAGGACCAGGCGATCGCATCCAGGGGCAGCCCCTCTGCGGGGCCGCCGCCGCAGAGGGCGTCCGCAAGGCTCAGCGCCATCTCGCTATCGTCAGTGATCTGATGGGGGGCCGGGTTCGTCAGCGGTTTCCTTGACGGTTTCGATGGCAGTTTTATCAGGAGTTATATCGGCGGTTGAAATAAAGGCAGGGCGTACGTGTGGTGTGAAAATGGGCAGCTGCAACGCTGCGCTGCGGACGCCGGGCCGGCGGCGTGCGGGCGCTTCGGATGACTAAGCGCGGGTCTAGGCGTGGGGTGGCTCCCCCGGGGGTGCACAGCTGGGCCGGGCCCGAGGAGGCCCCCTCGGCCGCAGGCGGGAGTCGCTGCGCGCAGTGGCCGATGGCTCGCGTGCCCCCGCCCTGCTGTCCAACCCCCGTCGTTCTGCACCGCTGCTTGGCACAAAGCGCGCCCCCACCTGGCCCGGCCCCAGCCTCCAGACGCCGCCGCCCGGCATCGTCAGCGCCTCCTCCACCTGCGCGCGCGCACACAAACACACACACACACACACACACACACACACACACACACACAGACAGCATAAGTGCAGGGGTGTGAGCCTTCAGACCGGCTGCAAGCACGGAACCCGTGCTGCCCCCATGATCTGCCGCCCCAATGCCCTCGCGCGGGCAGCAAGCGTTTTTTTGGTTCCAATCGGTTGTGATCTCTGCAGCTGAAACCACATGCGTGCCCCCGATGCCGCGCCGCGGGCCGCTGCTCGGGCGCATGAGTCACCTCTTCGTCGGTTGGGAGTCGCCGCAAGAACTCGAGCACGCCGCCGGCGGCGTCCCCCACCATCGCGCCCACCACGCAGCCGAGGGCGCGGTCGAGCCCTGATGCATCCTCGGTGCCTGCCGTCGCCGCCGCCGCGTCCGCCGCGGCTGCCGCGGTTTTAGGGGCGGGGCGCTTCTTGCGAGGGGATGCAAGATGCAACTTGCGAGGGCGGCGCCGCCGCGCGCTCGCGCGACTCGCGAGCGGCGGGAGCGGCGCTCGGAGCGCACCTGGCGCGGCCGTCGACGTGCCGCCAGGCTGCATGGGGCCCGCACCGCTTGCGCAATGATAGCAGCGGTAGCAATAGACTCGCCGAACGCGATGCAGCAGCAGCTGCGCTCAGCGGTGACGCGGCGAGATCGAGGGCCGGCGGCTGTGTCTTCCGAATACCGGTACATATCACACAGTACAAATCAATATGTAGATTCAATCACAGTGTATGAACCAGCGCTTTGTTGTAGGAGATGCGTGCGTGACTCCACGGAACCAAAAAGCGTAGGCAACAGACGCGGTTCGCACGCTTGCGGCAGGACAACATTGATAATCTCAATCCAAGGTGTTCCATATGCAAGCAGACCTGTTTTGACATCCAGATCTGGCGGTGGACTGACGGCACTCCCCTCACGACACCGGCACGCAGCTCGCCCGCAGCATAGGAGAGCGCGTCCAGTGGCGCCTGCATGATCGCGGCCTCGTGCCTGGGCGTCCTGCGGGGCGCCCCGCTCCGCGCCTGCCTGAGTGCGGCGCCCCTCGCCGCAGCCGCGTGGCGCGCCGCGGCCGCAGCTGCCGCCGCGCCCCCGCGCCGCGGCCTCTCCTCCGCCAACGGCAACGGCGAGAAGCACAGCGCTATCTACATCACCGACTCGGAGGGCGGCACGGTGCACGACCACACGCCCCTGATCCTCGGCCTGCTAAACTACTTTGAACGCCACCTCCCCTTTGTCGGCTACTTTGCCCCCTTTGGCGGCGGCGGCGGCCACGCGGCAGCTGGGCAGGTGGCGAGCGGCAATGATGTCATGATGGACCGCCACCTGAAGCTCATCTGCAGCGTGTTCAAGATGAAATGCGAGCCCAGGTGGGGGGTCGGATGAGTGGCTTCCTGTTTTTTTTGGATGAAAGTGAGGAGGGGCATGGGGCTCACCGCTTTCGCCGGGGCTGCGGCGAGAAACGGCAGCAGCAGGCGGCGCCGCCGGGGCGAGGTTAGCAGCGACGCTGGATCTCTTGGTGCCTCATGCAGCCGCGGCCGGGGGAGGCCGGCCGGGGGCCGGGGGCGGCCAGGCCAGGGGCAGGCGAGGTGCGGCGCGCCCGCCGGACTGGCGCGTAGCAGGCCGCACAGCTCCCCCCCCTGGGCCCAGCCGTGCCCGCGGACTGTCAACCCTGCTGCATGTTTTTTACAGCAGCCCTGGAGCCTCCGCTCGACGCCGGCCGTGCGCCCACCCTTGTGCATACGTGATCGCGCCCCACGCGACCTCGCCATGCCCCAGCGCCCACATCCCCTCTGCCCCGATCC